ATGGAAGGCGACCTGCGACTGTAAATATGAAAGGCTCATTCTAAGGTAACAGACTATAACAATTCCTATATTCAGGTGACTTTACACTAATGAAAACACACATACATTTTATGTACCATTTTTTCCTATATGTTATGTGGCTGAGGAACAAAGGTGAGTTCTATTACTTATGTTGACAAGGCATTCATTAATGCTTCAATTACTTCACATAAGTGCACTTTAGCCTCTAGAGGTTTCAACCGAGCAAAGTTTTACTTAGATGAACTGGTGTGTGGAGCAATTTTAAATTCTTCAACCTTCTTTTACCTAAAGAGTTTGGATGGACTGATATTAATTCCATTAAAGTAGTAATTTAACTTTGTAGTAAACAACATTCTTAATATTTTGCCTCCAGCCAAAACTATCCGTGGAATTCAGATATCTCATTGTTATGTTTTCTCCCTCCAACTTTTTTTGCTGTTCGTTTGGCTGTGACCTGCTTTGAGGGACCAGTCTGTACATCGTTGGCTGAGAGAGTATGACAAGAGAGAGTCTCAGGTTTAAAAAGAGCCAAGATATTTCTCGTTGACTAATTTCACTAATGAACTCTATTGGGAAATCAGTAGGACGAAGGCGCCATTAAATTTATTCATGGCAGGCGTCAGTTTGTTGCTTTAGAGGGGAGAAAAGAATTCAAGAGGATTCAAAGTGGAGCTCTAAAACTCAGATTAAATGTGTTACAAAAAAAACAATAGAATTATTAATAGTAACACGCTTAGCACTGTGCATGTAGCAAACCGTATACTGGTGTACTGTACCTAATGCATTCAAAGCTGGACAAATTAATCTCTCCCTAAAAATCTGTTAAAAGAAAATGTGTATCATTTTATATAGTATTTCATTCCTTTAAATGTTGTCAGATAATATTATAATGTGTCAAAGAGATACTCCATTTCTCTTCAAACTGTCTGTTTGAAGCAGCACTTTATTTTGTGGTCAGTGGTCCCCCATGTCTGTTATTTTCAGTATGAACCAGTATAACACTTCACTCAGCATGTCTGTCACCTCAAACCTCAGTAACAGTGGTGCCAGTTCACTAGTTCCTGTGCAGTCAGTAAAACATTTAAAAGGAACAATGCTGTTTTTATAATACAATAATATAATACAAATGTTTTTAAATAAACAAGTGTTCTTTAATATTTTCCCTCTGTGCTTTTAAAGCTGAGCAATGATGAGAGGTCACACATATTATTGTGAGAGATTGAGCGATTTGTGTCGCCTTTTTGCACTGTTAGAGACGTCGTTGTACATGAACGATAATGTATTCCTCTTCAGTGACAGTAAACAACACGTGGGCCCAACAATAACTGTGCTATAGTGAGACCTTAACAAGATATTTAAGACTGACAAACAGTAATGTTAACCGTGATAAACAATGTGGCTGTGACAGTGAGTGTGAAGGGGTTGAACTGGCTGAACGTGGTGGGAAAGCTACTTCTTAACTCCTATGGTGTATGCACCACATCTGTTCTATCCAATAAGAAGTATCAGGTTCAAATCCCTTTGGGAGTGCCTGGCTTTAACGCTTTCTGGTCAATGTTACTATCTCTGGTCCTTTTGAGGAGTATGTTAGCAAGCAAGTCAAAATCACAGCTCTAGCTTTAGCCGCAAGCCATGTGGCCACGCAATTTCACGCAATTTTCAGAGTCCTGCCCAGAAAAATCCAGAAGACCCCACGAGTAACAATGAAAACTACTAATGCTAATGCTTTTTAGACACTGAATACATAATATGGCTGTCTTCATCTGTCTGATAAAGCTTTTTTATCATTCAGTCATGGTAAGACATTTACTGGTGCATGAGAGAGAACACCCAGAGCGAACATCAGTGAGTTAAAAATGCTCTGATAGCAAAGAAGACGTCTTTTGTTCCTTTAGACTGTATCACTGGTGGATTTTTAAACTTATTTTGACTTTGCAGCCCTGACACTGAATCCACTGATACATTTTTGCATCAATATCATCACTTAACCTTATTAGAGAGCAACTTCTGCTGTCTGTTTTATAAAGACAGAGGACAAGTACTGAGTTAGTTGGATAAGTTGGGACTTGTTTCCTGTTTGGAAGCTCTTTGTGACTCTTACAGTATTTCCTAGTTTATTGAAATTATTTTATTCTTGCATAAGGGATTCAAGATCATGAATTGTTCACAGTGATTGTAAAAGATGGATAAAAGACACATTTAATCTCTCTCTGTACATATTTAACCATGTGCTGCAGTGGTCTTTATGTTACAGCGTTCAATCCAGACTTATGTTGAAGGTGATATGGAAATGTCTGCCATTGCGACTATTAGTTAAAAGTGACGTGAGTTCATCACAGTACATTATATTACCATTTGCTATTCAGTGGCAAATACAGAATGCTGAAAAATACCCAATCAAAAATTTGGTTTGATCCAATGAAAATCTAACCTTAATCCTAAAAACATCCCTCAAATAGTCCCCCCGGCCAGTCTAACATTGATATTGATCCTCACAAAGATGGTTAGATGGGTGACTCAGACAGACAGTGTTTAGTGTGCTGCACTTACCTGGTTGAATGAGTCGTAACAAGCCCTCATGTTCAGCCACCTTGTGCTTCCAGGTCTTGGTGTTATTGGTTGCGTGTTCCAGCTTCTTCATCACTGTCTGGCTCACACAAGTACACACACACAGAGACAAAACACACAACACAGTTATACAAGGCAAGTTTTTTTTTTTTTTTTAACAATTCAATTCAAATTTAAGAACAGCACTGTATTAACAATAATCAGTGAATCAGTATTAACTTCCTTGTTCTGAGCTGGTCAGAAGCAAAAACGAGCTCTTTTAATGGACGTACTTAGACGGTGCACAACTGCCTGCAAGGATTATGTTGTAGCCTGTTTTTGGCAGCTGCAGCACTAAATTCCATACTTGTTGTCCCAATTTATGGTTAGTCATATGCCTTGCAATTCTGGGATGGGTGTGTGATGTATCTTGGGTTTAGCGTTAAACAAAAATAGTGTGTTCAGAAAAATCTGTTAAATATTTTGCATAGCTTTTCTTACCATGTACTCCGTTAAAGATACACTCCCTCATTTTGCTACAGCACTGTTGATGTTCGGGAACTCAACTGAACTCTGAGTTTCAAAACATCAACAGTGAGCTGGAAGGACATTTTGAGATTTGTTAGTGATAATTTAGGCGTTTTCCTTTAACCAACAATGGACATTTCTTGTCATTTTGGCCTTTTATAGACTAGATGACTACTGTATGATACTGGATGAATGGATATTGAAAATGGTTATGTGCAGCTTCACTCCCAGGTTTGCTCATCAGCCCTGTTGCACTGAGGAGTCTGCAGGTTCCTATTGAGCCATGCTGTCATATAGTTTACTGTAAATTGATTTAGAAAACAATCGCATGACTGCCAGCTCTCTCTCTCTCTCTC